CTATAATTCACAACGAACGTCTCACGTGCTCGACTCAACTGTCAATTACCCATTGTTGCCGTCAGTTCTTGGCGGCTTATATATACAAGACTACCGCATATCTAGTAGTCTCTCGAGACTTCAGGAAGGGACGTGAACGTTCGAGAAGCGCATGACGTGTTACTAGCGTCACGTGACCTCCGCTGTCGTAACAATAGCTACACTACGGGAAATCAAACCACGAATTTTAGTGTTATAAGTCCGTAAACTTAGTACCGACCCAATGCGGGGGGGGGGAGCGAAAACATAGGCAATAACAATAAGAACGTTACGCCCATATCCAGTTAATTTTACTAAACTATCTCTGACTTACTAAACCACAAAGCCATGTTGAATCTAATTTTATATTTTTTGTTGTTATTAAAAATAATGTCCCCTTCCTAATATTTTCACAGATTCTGTCCTTACTTCAAAATGTTTCATTAATTATAATCCCCAGATCAATCCTATTTGAACCTAAAAAACTTGCAGAGTAGTTCAAGAATATATTCCCCTCCCCCCCCCGCAAAAAAACAAACAAACAAACTTTGTTCCTTTTTTCAGATGTAGTGACTTAGATTAGTTGTCAACATTATATGTTAACAATTAAATACTTCAGTTTTTATTGTTTGGCATATTTAGTTCATAATATACGACTAGTCAATATTACTAGTATTTAATAAAACACGTGCTGAGTACACGTGGCACGTTTAAGAGTTATACAATGACGTTGAAATGCTTTGACAGTTTAAAGCAGATTGTGCAGATATTTCAATACAGAAACTAAAAATGTAACAGTTTAATTGCTAAAGTACTGGACCTCCAGGAATTATTTATGTCTCGTCATTATTGTGTATTAATTTATACTGCAGAATGTTACTAGAGTTGTGGTTTTATAGAGTAACTTCCCTACACAATTATATTCTATAAGTTGTATTTTATAAATGCAGTATATATTTTTCGAAAAATAAACAACATAGAAAATGTGATTTATTGCTTTGTTTAATGATTAAAGGAAACCACCAGTTAATCGGTTTCAATATTGGAAAAGTAACGACCCCTCACCACCCCCACTTGTATGATGATGTATTTAAAATATTAAGGAACAGTTTCAATGTGTAGTCTACGTGTCGTTTTGAGACTGCGAGTTTTGTAGATTTTTTGACTCTGTTACAATTAAACAAGTCGAAATGGTTCAGAGTCAAAGAATGAAAGTTGCTAATGATAAAGCAAGCAAAAATGTTATATTACGTGGAAATGTGCCCAAAAGTACGGTAAGTTGATAAACAACTTATACTTACACTTTACAAATTATAGGACGTAGGTGCTACTAGTAATACTACTACTAGTTGTAGTAACCATATTTTACGGTAGGACCTAACGACTTAAACAAAGTTTAAAATAATATCATTTATACTTTTAAAAAGTTTAATTAACCGAGATTCGGTAAAAATGAGAATTACTTTTAAAGAATATATAATTACTGCCTAAAATACATTATATAGTGGAGTAATACGATTCTTTTCATTGAATTATTTCAGAGTATCATATGTTGAATATTTAGGAGACATTGATCCTGTTTAACTTGGGCAGTATTTTGTTTTCCAAAATCATGATTTTCATAAAGATAATTTGTTGTTTGATAACATGTGTAATGAAAAAATTTTAATTCAAAATTTCAGGCATCCAACAACATCTACTTTAGTTTAAATGAAAGACAAGAAACTATATATATCACGTTTTGTTGTCCATGAAAAAGTTTGATTTGTTTTTGTTTTAGATTAGCACACATCAATATTGAAACTGAATACGAGTCTAAAGAGGTTATAATTTCATTGTACAGGTCACTGGTTAGGCCACGTTTGGAATATTGTGTTCAGTCTTGGGCTCCTTATTTTAGAAAAGACATTGAATTGTTGGAAAGGGTTCATAAGGCTACTAGGATGATAATTGAGATGGAAAAGTTGTCATACGAGGACAGGTTAAGATCTTTGAAATTGTTTGTTGTGTATGCAGAACTTAATTTGGGCTGTAAATTTGAAAACAAAAAAAAAAAAAACTTAATTTTTGTATGAAAAAATTTAACACCAGATAATGAACTGACAGTTGCAATGTAGGAATACTTTTTTATTTAAATGAAAATTAAAATCCATAAAACTGTAATGATATAGACTAGTACTATGTGATTTGTGGTAAACTTTTATTTTACTGATTTTACTTATTGTTATTTCTGCTTTTGTTGAATTCTTTCATTCTCAGAAAGTTTAAGATGACTCATTCAGAATTTTGACACAATCATTGTAATAGTAGCTATCAATGTAACATGTAATGCTGTAAATGATTTATATACAGATTTTTATTTTTAATTTGTTTGATAACTATAAACAGAATTAACTGCAAGCATTATTATATTGCTAAATATTGCAAATTTAGTTGCTACAGATAACACTTAAATCAGTGTAGTGTTTTATAAATATTTGCATATCTCTTTAAGCATGTTCCCAAACATACAACACAGTTTAGGCTAAAAAAAATTTGCATATACTTGTTCAACATACTCTAGTGGATTCTTTTAGTTATAATAGATCTCATAAAATAATGAATTATTTAATATTCTTCACACAGAAATACGTGCAGTATGTTTGGTGGATTGTCTCAAATTTACTAAAAATATTCCAAAAAATCATAAATTTGCCTAGTTTGTGAAAATGGATTGTAGAAATACAAGAATTATTGTTCTTTTTAAGTGCTTCATAAATTGTAAAGCAAATTGTGCTGTAATTTTTTTTTCTCTAATCTTGTAAGAAGGACTAACCTCGCTTAAAAACTTGTCACTCCTTTACTAGGTTTCCATACTAGTGCCAGTGGTTTGATTAGTTTTCTTGTATTTCTAACCATACTGTCAAAATCAGCCTCTAGCTTTGCATGAGGTTCTTTAACTGGTTATTTCTCTACTTTGTGTACTAGAAGTACATTATATGGGGGTGGAGTAATGCAACTGATTTTTTAAACTGTTTTATCAAAATTTCTTTTATCATAAGTTGAATTGTTTATTTCATCATTAAGAATATATAGATATTTAAAAGTCTAGAAGTGGCAGTTTTTGTATTTTAAGTAAGGCATGGTTTCATTTATAGTGGTGCATTAAGTAGTTTCTTATTACAGTTTTAGGAAAGAAATATATAGTGTTGATGTAGAACTTAATGGGTAGGTGTTACAGTTGAAATGACTTAATTTCATCCTTCCATAACTATTGTAGAATATATCTTTAACAAGGTATATTGTGTTATAAAGTTATGACATCCACATGAAAACTGGATGTTGAAAGGTGATAAACATGCTAATCTTTTGTTGCTGAGGTAAAGGTTACATATGGCAATTGCATCTCTTAGAAGCTTGTACCAGTTTCACTGTATGTCCATTCCCTGGACAATCTCAAGTGGTCATAGATACTTGTATAAGTTGGGGAGGAGGGTCCTTCTCTTTAATGTATCATTTGGAATAGTCTTTAACACATTCACTGCCTACATATATGCATCAACTAAAACATTGAGGCAAATGCATTTTAATGGAGATGGCATGCATTAAAAGTTTGTTCTGCTTTGAGGGTCTCCTCTTGTAGAAATTTTGCTTCATTGTAAATTTGTTTTATTTTATATATATTTCTGGTTGGCTTTTTAAAAAAAATGTATAAAATAGTGCTCCTTCAAAGCCCGTGACTTAAATGTCTGAATAAAAGCTTATCATTTTCTTTCTTCCAGAAACCTAAAGATGAGAAATACCCTGTTGGACCATGGCTACTTGGCTTGTTTATATTTGTTGTTTGTGGATCTGGTAAGTTAGTGGCCTAAACTATGTTTTTAACATACAGTTTCACCCATAAGTAGTTTTTCTTTTATTTTGCTTAGTGAGTTTTTAGAAGCTAGCCAACAAATATTGTTGTAATCAAATTAGTTTTTGCATACTTATTTACAAGGTATTTATTAATTTGAGCCAATTCTATGAAGACAAAAGCTTGCAGAGAGAATTTTTTTTTTATTTAGTAAAAGGTTCAGTGGGTTATAGCAATGATGTCTGTCTGTTGACACATTTTCTGCGTGTTATGTAAAGTTCTAAATGACACATTATGATCAAACTTCACAGGAAATCTCCCTTGGGGATGGGGAAGAACCCTTATAATTAAGGTATTAAAAAGTCAAAGTCATAAGTTTGAAAAATAGAACTTTGGTTTCTGTGCAAAATAAAATATAACCACAAAATATATAAACACAAACGTACCATATTTATCAATACAAAGGGAAAGGTAGTGCTTTGGTGGGGGTGGATCAGCCATTCTATTGTTAGCTGTTATTATAAAAATACAGTTGAAGTATTTGCTTGTGGGTAAGCCGAAGGTGAAAGCATACTGACTACAGATAAAGTATTTATCATTGATAATGTTGAAAGAAACCATCTTTCTGTTACTATCAGTACTTGTCATACAACTTTGATAAACCAAAAGTTTGTATATTGGAGGGTTATATAATTTTTGCCATGACATAAATATTTAGACTAAGATGGTGATTGAAGTTATCACTGTTATTGTAATAATCCAGAATTGGTATAAAGGGGTAACTACTGTCCCCACAACCAGCAGGGGTAACTACTGTCCCCACGACCAGCAGTAGGCTAGTATACGTGTAATTGGACTTGAGAAACTAGGCCCACCCATTAAATGATTTTTTGTTGCTTGTATAATGAATTTTGTGTATAGATATTTAAGATAGTCACGTTTCTTGTAGAAATAAAAAAGGTGGCTCTTGAAATGGGTGTTGCTGGTTGTGGGGCTGCTTCTGCTTTACAAAAGGATATAGATTATTTATTGTTGGTTGAATAAATGGCATATTGCTTTTGATTACAATAAATGCAAGATAATGTGTGTGGGATATAACTATTTCAGTTATGAATATATATTTTGATGGGAATAACCTGAACAGTGTTATAGAAGAAAAGGATCTTGACATTCTAGCTGATTGTTTTTTTTTTAGCCATCTAAACAATGTACTGTTGAAGTAGCAGAACAAGTAGAATTTAGGTTGTATATACAGAAATATTTAATATAACTAAAGAGGTTTATAATTGTATTGTATATGTCACTGGTTAGGGCAAATTTGGAGTATTGCATTCAGTCTTGGGCTCCTTACCTTAGGAAGGACATTGAATTGTTGGAAATGGTTCATAGGGCTACTAGGATGATAATTGAGATGGAAAAGTTGTCATACGAGGACAGGTTAAGATCTTTGAAATTGTTTTCTCTTGAAAAAAAGAAGAGTTTGAGGAGATCTTATTGAGGTGTTTAAAACTGATAGTGTTGATGCATCATTTTTTTATACTTAATGATGAGAATGGTAGGACTAAGGAACATAAGTATAAATTTTGGCAGGTAGGAATCATCTTCAGTTAAGACAGCTTTATTTTTCTAACAGGGTGATTGGCCTTCAGAATGGGTTGCTTTCAGATGTGGTGGATGAAGTTAATTTATGGGAAGGCTTGATAAATATCTGAATCATAAAGGCTGGGTTTTAAAGTTTAGTTTAGTGTGAGATGGCCTAACTGTTCCTTATCCTTAAATTGTATTAATGTATGTAATAATAGGAGAGACAGGTTGTCCTAAGAACTGTTTAATAGGATGCTATTATCACAGTTATTCCTTTCTCAACTTGTACCTTTTTTGTAGTTTATACATCTATTCCATTTTACTTTCTTCTTGTTAAAGTACAAATTTATATTTTATTGACTTTTGTGGGTTTCAATACCCCACCCACACACACACACACACACACACACACACACACACACACACATTTGTCATCGATATGCTTATTATATTACTGTAATATCAATTATTTAAATTATACAATGATATAAAATAATATTGATGTATAGATTGTTAATTATATCACTGCAGATGGCAAGTCTGTAGTTGGTTTATGTAAGTTATATAATCATATGTTATATGAATAAAGCAGTATTGAAAATATGATAATGTTGGTTCCACAGAATGCATTTAGTGGTAGTTGAACTATGTTTCTCGACACTCAAGTAAACTGAAACTAATATGAACTTTTTTTTAAATTTTTACTAGCTTTATTCCAGATTATCCAGAGTATCAGATTTGGTTGAAGTATTTAATGGACTTAATTTCCATTTCTACAGTCTGACACAATAGTTGGTAGGGAGAGAGAGAGAGAGGGCAGAGAACTATATCATGTGACGTGTACATAAGTCTAAGGGTGTAAATTTGAAGAGTATTTTTAAATAATCAGATATGTACTTCATTGCTTCTACTATTCCCAATAAAAGTACAGATCTTTATGACAACAGTACATCTGTTCCAGAGTATAAATATATATATATGAGGTATATTCTTGACAAAATAATTTACAAGAATTTAGTGTACATTGTATAAGATATTTTTGTGGACCTTCAGCTATAACATGTTAACTGTTTCAGCTGTCAAGCATCCTTGTCTGATAAATGTCGGTTATACTCGGCACAAGTAAGCTTGTAAAAACAAGGTTTTATTAAATTGGTTATATTGAAGAAGTCTGTAACATCAATATCAGAAACATCCAATAAAATCAACTTGTTAAAATTTCCTAAGCACTGAACTTTAACAAAGTTGAAACTGATAAATATAGGTGTTGCAATGCACGTTTCACATTGTACAGTAGTAAGTTAAAATATAAACTTTTAAAACCTATATTATACATTATATAAAAATCCCCATTCATATTGCAATTACTAGTAATATTTTTAACATTTCCATAGTATACAAATGAATGAAAATACCAAGACTTTATTACATGGATTATTGATGTTTAAAATGGTATGACCATCACACGTGTGCATACAGTGAAAGACGTGTAGTATGTGATTTTATTAATAAACGTATGTAGTAAAGTTCCTTGAAAATGTAAACAGAGATAAGACAAAAGTAAAGAAACTATTATTGTTTACCTGTGAAATTATGCAACTATGTTATGGAAACCCAAATAATATTCGTTAACATGAGCTGCCGATAACCAAAACAAGTATTATACAAAAAAAAAACTGTTGAAGATTTCAACTTACAACCGTGATGTAATTATTGCGGGGTCTTCATATACTTGAAGTTTACATGTACAATTAATTTGGCAATTCTGTGCTATTGATGTGATAGAAAACTGACACTAATAGGTAGTTTTTAAATACCCCATTCTTTACTTTAGTTGCAAGTGGTTGTTGGTTGAATTATAATTCCTGATCTATACTGTAAAATAACTATAATACATGAATAGTTTTTGGAGTCAACAAGAACTGCAAAGAGTTGTATCACAAATAACGCTTGTGATTTAGAATGAAAGTGTTAAGGTATCTGTATAACTGCAAGCTGTAGAGAAGTAGCTTGTGATTTAGAATGAAAGTGTTAAGGTATCTGTATAACTGCAAGCTGTAGAGAAGTATCTTGTGATTGAGTACACGCTGAAACACAAAATAAGTATGCATAAGACAAACATCATTCAGGTGCATTTTTTTGGATTTAAAGCCTACAGACATTTGAATCATTTATAATGAAATACACACATAAACAGCAACAAAAACTAAATTAAAAGGTGAAAAATGTGCTCTCTGGATGGAGATTGTAAATCTTACTTCTCTACAGCTTGCAGTTATACAGATACCTTAACACTTA